CTCGCCCGGCCAGTCTCCGTGTCCCTCTTCAACAGACCTGAAGCCACAGTGGAGCAGCAGGTCAGTCCTCCAGTCGTCCCACAGCCACTTTCTCACCAACAGGCCTAATGAATACTGGGCTGAGTTGGATCGATATCCAGAACATCTGTCAGTAGAATCTCATTCCTGTAGCGAGATGTGACATCGTCCTGAACAAGAGCTGCAGCTGACGGTCAGCGGCGCCTTCGCTCTGCAGGAGGTTTCAGGCTCTGGAAACGTGTCCCGCTGCCTTTGGTCTGAGCCTCCAGAAGCTCTCTAGGAACCTGCCACACATGGGCCGGTCCTGGCTGCTTCAATACAAACAGTAGCCACACAGATTTATTAAAAACCACACGATGAGGCTTCTACCACTAGCTGATTAGATTATTGAATCAATGCCCGGCCGTTTTGATAATCGATTGATCGGTTTGAGAATTTAATTTTTTAAAGGAAAATATGTTCAAATGATTCAAGTCCAGCTTTTAAACTGATGTTTCCTGATGTAGTTTCTGCTCTACGACGGCATGCTGAGCGTCTCTGGGTGGAGGGTAAACAGGATCGCTCAGCTGGTTGTTCACCGTGAGCTCTGAGATGCACCGTGTTCACTGTTTTCTGACATTTTAGAGGCCAAACAACTCATTTAATCATAAATATATTCAACAGGTTAACAGTGGAGCATAACCACTGGCTGCAGCCCTGGAGCTGCACGTCAGCAGAAACACTGCTGTTTGCTCTGTACACAGAAGCTCTGAGCTAGTGGAGGAGAGTTAACGGTCAGTCCAGCCTCAGGACGGGTTAGGGTTAGGGGTTAGGGGCTAGGGGCTAGAGGTTAGGGGTTAGGGCTAGGATGTACAGCCCGCCGTGTGCCTCAGGTTCTCACTGATGGTGCAACAGTTCCCACTAAGACCTTGAAACTGAGACGTGCTGAAAAATGGCCTGACTTAGTAGTCAGAGATAAAATGAATTAATTTCTAAACGGTAGCCGGCTGGAGACGGTTGTTTCACTCTGCTTGTTGTTCAGAGCCACCGTCTAACAGGTTCATTTGGTTCTTCTGCTCTGGCAGCTGCTGCTTGGTTGAAGTACGTCTGAACAAAGAGCATTTTCCAAGCTGGCCTGTTTTTAAGGAGATATCTGCCTTTAAAACACATCATCTAGTGTTTGGTCTGAGGGAGGTAACGGAGCACAGATTAGGACTAAACATCTGACCCGTGATTTATAGAAGAACTTTCTCTGAAATATAAATGATCATAGAACATGTATGTATGCACACTGACTCACTGTATCGGCCTTTCTACCCTGAAGCTGTTGTTTAATGCTGTTCCCTGCTGGTCATGAAGTCCTGACATCTTTAAGTGTTTCTGCTCAGCGTCTAACCCTCGTCACTCCGTTTAACCCGCCGGCTGTTCCTCCATCTCCAGGCCCTGTTGCCAGTCAGCCAGTCTGCAGTCCTGACCCGCTCCTTCCAGACCAGCGCCGTCTCCCGGGACATCGACACTGCCGCCAAGTTTATTGGTGCTGGCGCTGCCACGGTGGGCGTGGCCGGCTCAGGGGCTGGAATCGGAACCGTGTTCGGCAGCCTCATCATTGGTTATGCCAGGTAATGTGTTTACATGTGAACCCACAGCACGCTGAAGGCTGCTCAGGGCTTGTGATGCTCTTATCAGACTGTCGTGGATGTTCAGAACCCTGATGTTGCTGGAGGCACCGGGACGGTACCGTCCCCTTAATGTGCTTCAGTTATGCCTTCAGTTACAGTCTTCAGTAGTCTGAGGATTTAAAAGCTGAAGGTGAGAAGCAGAGTGAGGTTATGTGAGAGGCAGCCCTCAGATGTACCAACTCGTCCTGTCCTTACTGGCTTTCTAGCTCTGCTTCTGAAGATGTAGTCTGGTCTCTTAACTGGTGTTGAGTTGGTCACCACAGCATGATGACTCCACTTCTGGACCTAAAGCACAGATCCCAGCAGGTGTCCTGGAATAGAACCACTTAGACAAATGAATCCCTTTTCTCGGATGAGTGATGATCTGCATGTTAACGTGTTGAAGCCGTCTGAGGAGCCTCAGTCCTCCAGCTCACGTTCATCCTCGTAGTTTAATGGCAGCAGCTGGACCCGCTTGAGATCCTTGAAGACGTTCCACCAAAACAAAGCCACTGTTCATGTAGTTCAGTTTGTCGTGTGTTGGGTCCAGTCATGAGCAGATGTGGCCGGTACCAGACGAAGCTGCTGAAACGGAGCAAACAGCAACTTGACTTGACGTAGAGACTCAAAGCTAATTGACCAGGACAAGCTGCTTTAACAGCATGGGGCAGTAGGGTCTACAGAGATGGGGCCTTCTGAGATGGACTTGATGACTGGGTTGAGTTTCCAGGAGGTTTTAATCACTGAACAGGTTAGCGGCGCCGAGTCCATCAGCCTCTGATGCCAGCAGCAGGTCGACTGTACAGACATCATACCTGTGATGTTGAAACTGCTTCATCTGAAGGAGATCAGGCTGATCACTGCTGAACGTTCATCAGACAGCTGATGGTGTTCTGGACCTGGTGCAGAACAGAGCCTACATGTTTAACTATCTAAGGATGCGTCTGATCGTTGGCCTTCTCCTTCCCCGTTTGTATTTAAAGAGGGATTAGTTTGTGGGGTTCTACAGACTGATGCTGGTGTTGTGGGGTTTGGTGCTGAACCTGGTTTCAGGTTTCGCTCCATAAATAAAACATCCTGCATAGAATGAACCCTCAAGGTAGAAAGAACATGTGTTACATTGTGGAAGAGCTGAAGTTTCACTCTGTGAGAATTAGTTTGTGATGTCTATGATGTCTGGTTGGTCTGACTGTGCTCCTCCTGGTCCTCCTCCACAGGAACCCCTCCCTGAAGCAGCAGCTCTTCTCCTACGCCATCCTGGGCTTTGCTCTGTCTGAGGCTATGGGTCTCTTCTGTCTGATGGTGGCGTTCCTCATCCTGTTCGCCATGTAAACCTGGAAACACGCCTCCCCTCCACCTACTGCCCCTCTGTCTCTCCTTCCCTTTACCTCCTTGCTCCCTTCTCCCCCTCCCTCCCCTTCCAGCCGGAGGGAGGGGGGGTTTCCACAACGGGAACTGTGAGCGAGCTGACGGGCCATTCCAATCAACAGAGAAATTATTAAAGGAAAACATATTTACATCTGAGGCGCACAGAGCCTCCAATCCTTCATTTTTATGTTCCTACACTTTATTTTTGTTTTTCTGAAGTTTTATGTAAGACCTCACTTCGGTTGAAATAATCTGTCCAGAATAAATGGTTGGGATAACTAAGAGCTGTCTGCACTGTTTAATGCTCCAACACAGTTCTGCAAACACTGAGCACTGCCGACATGCAAGAGAGCTACAGGTTATGATGCTTTTCTCACACAAACATCAGGTTTGAACCCGTTAGAGCAGAGATCTCCACACCGGTCCTCGTGAGCTTCAGTCCTGCAGGTTTCAGACGTTACTGCAGCACACCTGACTCTCACTCATGGATCATTCAGACTTGTGTAGAACTTGACAACAAGCTGCTGGAGATCCATTCATGCGAGTCCGGTGTGCAACGTCTAAAACCTGCAGGACTGAAGCTCACGAGGACCGGAGCTGGAGATCCCTGCATTAGAGAATAAATCATGGATCATAAGTACAAACTGGCGACTAACTGTTAGAAAGTGGGCTGCAGGTGTCTCTAGCAGGTTTGTATTAACAGACAGTTTAGTTAATGCCAGCGTTAAGCTGAAGTTGCTAGTTCAGTATAAACACCTGTACATGGTGTAGTTCAGTATAAACACCTGTACATGGTGTAGTTCAGTATAAACACCTGTACATGGTGCAGTTCTGTCTAACGTGTGCGTTTCCTGACTGAAGGATCCTTCCTGTGTCTGGAGGTTGGATTCTTTCTCTGCAGTATGAATGTTCACCATCTGTCAAAATGAAACGGAAACGACCTCAATTAAATTACCTTCTTGGGTTAATTGGCTTAATTAAATGCCAGGAAGCACATCGGTTCAGCTCGACGAATTAAAGGTATCACATTTGTCAGTAATGCGTTTCCCACAGGCTGATCCAACCCGATTACCGCTCACGGTTCCTACATGAAGGTAATTCTCACACCGCTTGGGAAGTGATTCAACACCATCTAGTTGAAACAGGATACACGTCTGCTACGGGAGGCATCAGTGCTTTAGGTACAAATAAGAAATTAAATGCCTGATTCTCATCATCACCAGGCAGCAGCGCCATAACTGTTCAATAAATAATCAGTTGTGACTGTTGAACATGATATTTTCTGGTAAAATGACAGAACCCTGAAACTGAGTAGGGTTATTAGACAAAAAACAACAACATACAACTGAACACATCCAATATGGATGATGAGATCGTTTAAATACAAAAGACAGTTTATAGCCTCACACTTTAGTTTATAGCCTCACACTTTGGCAACATCCTCCAGCATGTTTATTTCATAATGTACCATAAAGGTAACAATAAACAGTTTTCATTTATTTTGCCAACTGAGTAAAGTTAAAGGTGAAATTATACAACTTTATATTTTTCTATTAATTTTTATGTTTAGTATTATTTATTGATGTCTTTTTAAATACAGTCTACGGTATAAACATGAAGGAAATGAAAAGCACACTACATGCCTCCTTATCTTCATCACAGTGGTTGTTCCAGCTGATCATATCATTGATCAGAAAAACCAAACAGCAGCTTCTGTTTTGATAAATTATTACAGATAATAAACATAAATAAAGTCTGAATTAATGTGGTCAGCTGACAAGGACAAGACAATAAAAGCGTTTTTGTCTCATTTACCAACAGTGAGATTTTAAAGAAAATATACAACTTTATATTTTCATTTTATTTATGTAAACCATTTAGTATTATGTGTTTATGTGTTGAGTTTATTTTTAATTTAATAATGTATTTCACTACAGGCTCCTACAGTCTGAGGGATATTTTGAACAGACTACAGCATCTGTGTGGGTTGCTACTTAATTATATGAAAATCACGGATTTACATTTGCCCACATGTTTTCATGTGTAAACATACTTATAAGCTGCATTTTACATTTATTTTGGTTTTATTTTGTACATCACTAGTTGCGTTTTTTGCGCCGACACGGAGGACCATTACTTTGAAACCTCCCGGATGTGCAGCGCGCTGTGCTTTCCGCGAACTTCACCTCCGAGAAATCAGATCCTGAAGTTGCGATCTGTGTCCGGACCAGCGGGGATGTGTTCGGTATTAAACCCAATATTCCGACACCAGGATTCGTTTGGACCGACAGCAGCCGAGCGGTGAGCCGGTTCCGAGCCGCAGCGAGGCGACGGTTGTGGTTTTACCGAAGACTGAGTACTTTTTGAGGCCTGAGGGGGAAACACAGTGAAGCTAACAGCAATAGCCACCATGTCGGGGGAAGGACTGCCGTGTTTCGGGGCCTCGGCTCTGCCCCGTTCGGCGGCGCTCTGATCCGTCCGGACGACGCGACCAGCGGCGGTAACTTGGCACTCACCTGTCAATGCGGCTAGCAGCTAGCGTCATCAATTAGTCAACACAGCGGGTTTACTCGAGCTTCTAGCTAGCGAGCCATGGCGGACAGCTTCGGAGAGGAGTCCAGCGGCGGTGCCCTTGGCTTAGGCGGCACCGGACAGGGCAGCGCAGCCGCGCTGCTGCCGACTTTGGCGAACTCTCTGCCGGGGGGACACTCGGCTGCCAGCGGGGCTCACTCCAGCTCCAGCCCGGCCTCGCCTCCTCCCGCCGCGGCCGCGCAGAGTGGCCTCACGGCTGTGGTGGCGCCTCTGTCCGCTGTCACCGCCACCCCGGTCGGGTTCGGGAACACGTTCACTCCCGGCTCCTCGCCACCTGTCGTGGCCGTGTCTCCCACCGTGCACGCCTCCTCGCCTCTCCCCGGCGTCGGGCTCGGGGTGGCCGGGGTGGCAGGAGCGGGCCTCCTGTCCCAGATCCACGCCACGTCCTGGGACCCGACGCTCAGCACGGACTGGGACAACGAGAAGGCTTCCCAGCAGTGCATCCTGCGGATCAAGAGGTAAGAGCCGAACCGTCCGGATCCAGGTGTGTGTGTTCAGGCACGCTGAGGCCTACGGTGTCAGTAAAGTTAGTAAGAGCGAAAGTGAAAGCGGTCCACCAAGTTTCTATCACCAGAGAAACTTTTAGAGAAGAAAGGAAACCAGCAGTGAGTCATGCAGACTCCAGGACTGGTCCTGGTCTGACGGGATGAAAGCCACTACATGGTCTTGTTCAGTCCTCTGCTGGACTTTTAGGAGTCTGTCTTTGCTGCACAACAAGTGACTCACATATAAAAACAAACAGTCTTGTGCTTCCAGAACCAGGGACACAATCCCCACATTCCTCTACAGATGTCATTAATCAGCTTTCAAGAGAAAATCATTAATTAAGCTGCAGATTGTTCCAGTCTGGTTTAGTCACCTGTTGGATGTCACTGCTCTGTTTGGCCTTAACCTTCACCCGCCTCCACCTCTCTGTCTCTGCAGGGACATCATGTCCATCTACAAGGAGCCTCCACCGGGGATGTTTGTAGTCCCTGATCCTCAAGACATGACCAAGGTAAGAGGCCACGTTGGTCTGACGAGGCGCCGTGACGCTGTTCACGCTTCAGATAACATCCAGATGAAGTTCAGGTCAAACAGTTTTAGTGTCTGCAGCACATGGACCCACCAGAACCTCCTATTTACAGCTAAATAACAACAGGGTCACGCTAGTCGACGGACAGACGCACACAGTGTGGACAGGGATCCCAGGACCGGACATGTTCACGTCCAGACATCCAGTGGAGAAGAACACCAACAACCTGCAGCACATCCAGGCCCAGGGATCAGGAGTCCGGGTCCAGCAGATCTCAGGTCTGATGGTAGCTAGCAGTGACCTGGTGTTCCTCAGCGTCCTGCTCCAGTCCAGCAGATGGAGGAAATACACTGGAAGCTGTTTGGTATCTGGATGATTTCCACTCATGGACCACAAGCAGAACTTTTCTGGTCTGGTTCACGGTTGCTGCTGTGAGTCCTGCCGACCCGTCACCGTGCGGGTCAGTAATCTACCTGCAGCTCAGGTCTGGGTGATGCCTCGTTTAGGAACCACCTGATCAGAGAATGGCGTTAGTTTTACTGAGTTCAGCTGCTTGATCCGGGTCTGGGTCTGGGTCTGGGTCTGGGAGAAACAGAATCATGTCCAGCTTCTGTCGGCCTCACGCGTCTCAAACCAGCTGCAGAGATCTGGCGTCCCTGCTTGCCTTAGATGATGGGATGTGTGCTGTCCAGGTCCGGCCTGACATGTAGCCGATAGCTGGACTGGACCCTGTGGTTCTGACATCACTGGCATAAGATGGCAGAGCTGGTTTCTGAGAAGTTTGTGACACGTTGTCCAGCTTTAAACACCGTCTACGCTCCGGCCGGACCCACTACGGTACTGACACACTACAGTTCTGTTCCCGACCGGACCACACGCCCCGTCAGCCTTTAACACCTCTGACCGGTTCTGTTCAGACCACACGCCCCGTCAGCCTTTAACACCTCTGACCGGTTCTGTTCAGACCACACGCCCCGTCAGCCTTTAACACCTCTGACCGGTTCTGTTCAGACCACACGCCCCGTCAGCCTTTAACACCTCTGACCGGTTCTGTTCAGACCACACGCCCCGTCAGCCTTTAACACCTCTGACCGGTTCTGTTCAGACCACACGCCCCGTCAGCCTTTAACACCTCTGACCGGTTCTGTTCAGATTACCACTTGAGGGGCTAATGAAGAATTTTTGAATTGAGCTGAATAAAACTAATCGAACCCGGTGCAGTGGTTCTAAACAGATGAGCTCGGAGCAGCTTGACAATCAGGACGGGTTATCAGCAGACCTCCAGGTGAGTCTGACGGGCCTGGACCAGAACCACAGGTCGGCAGTAGAACTGTCTTACTGTACGATCTGGTGTTACTGCCCACATTCTGCATGTAGACGGTCAGAACAAACTGTTGCTTTATTTATAAACCCGAACTTGAATGTGACTGAATGAAACCGGGCCAAGGTGTCGTGATCAGCAGCGTCCTTCAGCCGAGCCGTCTCCATGACAACCGAAGAACCGCAGCCTTCTGACGGCGACGCGAGTCGTAAAGGTTCTGGAGTAAAGATAAGCGGACCTTGAGCTAACAGGGATTCTCAGGACATCAGGGTCCAGAATGAAGGTTTCTGCTGCCAACAGAAGACCAGAAACGTCACCGACCATCTGGAGAAGGAGTCTGATGGAGATCCTGTGTGACCTCGGTGGTGCTTCTCCCTTTACCTGGAGGTGGAACCAAACTGGAAACCACCAGAGTTTTAGGTCACAGAACCACTGAAACATGTGTTCTTCTGCCTCACAGCTGGTTCTCATGTGGACGCTGTCGGTCGGGTTCTGGGTCAGATGTTCTGCTCCGGCTCTGTCGTCTGTTTTGACCTCTCTTCCATTCATCCGTCTCCTCAGATCCACGCCCTGATCACGGGCCCGTTCGACACGCCGTACGAGGGCGGCTTCTTCCTCTTCCTGTTCCGCTGCCCCCCCGACTACCCCATCCACCCGCCGCGGGTCAAGCTCATCACCACCGGACACAACACCGTCCGCTTCAACCCCAACTTCTACCGCAACGGCAAGGTGTGCCTCAGCATCCTGGGGTGAGTTTCCGCCTCGTGTGCTTCATGTAAAGAGGAGTTTATGAGGAGAGTGTTTGCTGTGAGTGTGTGTGTGTGTGTGTGTGTGCAGGACGTGGACCGGCCCGGCCTGGAGTCCAGCCCAGAGCATCTCCTCAGTCCTCATCTCCATCCAGTCTCTGATGACGGAGAACCCCTACCACAACGAGCCGGGCTTCGAGCAGGTACAGCCGAGCGCCGACTGTTTGTGCTTTTATTGAAAGTACAAGGCGAGTAAATACGTTGTGTGTGCCTCTCAGGAGCGCCACCCAGGGGACAGTAAGAACTACAACGAGTGCATCCGCCATGAAACCATGAGGGTTGCTGTGTGCGACATGCTGGAGGGCAAAGTGCCCTGTCCTGAGGCTCTGTGGTGAGACACTCTTCTTTACTTTGAGCCAGTGATTCAGCCCCGCCTCTTCCTTCTGCTGTCACCTGCTCACCTGATCCTACCTGTGTGTGTTTCTGCAGGAGTGTGATGGAAAAGTCCTTCCTAGAGTACTACGATTTCTACGAGGGCGTGTGCAAAGAGCGGCTGCACCTGCAGGGACAGAACATGCAGGTGACTGTGTTGATTCTTTGTCTTTATCTGACGGTGCACAGCAGGAAACAAGCTGCCGGAGGTTCTTCTGCTTCTCAGGCGTTTTAATCCAGCTGCTACGCGCCCCTTCCTTATTCCTTCTTGGAGATGAATCACAGGCTTCGTTGATGAGCTTCACATACGTTACTCTGGACGTCACAAACCCACTGAAATGCTTTTATTGTCTGGATTTGTTCCATTTGATAGAAAAGCTAATTTCATCCCTGTTCATGTGCATGAGGAGCAAACAGAGAGTCATGAGCTGAGCGCTCAGGAGGCCTTCAGGAGTAGTCGTTCAGTGGTAGTAGTGGTAGTGGTGGTAGTGGTGGTAGTAGTGGAGGTAGTGGTGGTAGTAGTAGTAGTAGTAGTAGTAGTAGTAGTGGTGGTAGTAGTGGTAGTGGTAGTGGTAGTAGTAATACCTCTTCTAGTATTTAAATAAAATCAATATGATTTCATTTTTGATTTTC